TCGGCAGGCTCCAGGGTGTGCAGCTCATGACGCCACAATGAAAGTAGCACAGGAGATTTTGCCAAAACCTCAGCAAGGCAATTACCAGCCACTTCTGGGAACATACTCCCTCCTGTGCTGGCTGGGATTGCTCTTTGAGGGCTTCTTCTACACAGGGAAAAGGACCAGGGAAGAGAGGAGGAGTGGGGAGGGAGGGCTTAGAAACCTGTGAGCAGGATTTATTTAGCATGTTTTAAACACCACTGGGAACCTGGTCCAGGCAGATAAAGACCTGCTTGAAAACAGGGCAGCTGGACATCATTGTGACTAACCCTAGCAGTTAACACACCTAGTTAAACACACCGATTGTTTTCAAAGAGCAGAGAAAGAATGAGATGACATGGGCTTGGAGCTGGGGATGCCTAGGGCCAAACTTTGCCCATGCTGCCCAAAACACATCACCCAAACATGAAACAATCATTGTCCCAGGGCAGGGAAAGCTCGAGAGCAGTGGTTCTCAGACTTTTTAGAATTGGGATCCTGCTCATAAAATGCCAGCTCTTAGTTTTCACTTGTTTTTTTGACTACATGGAAATAATAGAGAGTTTCTTCTGTTGCAAAAAACTCAGATATCATAACAGGTCAGAAAGTTCTCAGTGCTATGGATTCCTATTTGAAATCCCTGGGCTTAGCTTGTCAATCGTGTTTGTGCACCTGACAGTGCTAACATCACATGGTACCCCACATCATCCTTGAAGGATTTCAAAAGGCACCCTGGTTGAGAATCAAAAAAGAGAAACAAAGAAAAAGAAAAATCAGGCTCACAACCTAGCCACTGGTGCTTTCATACATGGGGAGTTAGGGGCAGCAAAGAAGGGAGAGGGAGGAAGGGAGGCTAGGGGGAAAACAGTTTTAGCATCCAGAAGTACAACCCAGAAGCCTGTTAGCACAAGGCTTAGTTATACTTCCATTCTTCCCTTGTTCTGCCCACCTTCCCAGTCTGGCACTTGCAGAGTGCGTGGCATCAGGAAACAGGTCAAGGGAAGAGCAAATGAGGTTTGTGTTTCCCCTTTTACCTGTCCCCAGAAAAACTAAGTCCAGGTGCAATATCAGAGCTGAGAAGACGTTAGGTGGCTTCTGTCAGGTGACTAGCAAGAGGTGCTTGCCTCCAAAAGCCACTGTCCCTGTTCTAAATGCACATGTGTGGCACCAGAGAGTTGGCATGTCCTGCAACAGCCAATCACTGCAGCCAATCACTGCAACTGCTTCCAGGAGCGGCTGCAGCTGCTTCTAGGAGCAAGTGCCAGCTGATCGCTGCAGCCACTCCCAAAAGCAGCTGCAGTGAGCACAGTGATCAGCTGGCACTTGCAGGGGGGGCACCAGCATTCCTATCTGCGCCCCATGCCCATTGTCTAAGCAGCAAGTGCAGCCATCAGGGGGTGCACCGGTGCTATCAGGGGGTGCACGTGCACCCCCCCTACACGTTGCCACTACACCACTGGCTCATATTCAGCTTATTGTCCACTCTAATTCTCAGGCCCTTTTCTGCAGAGCTGCTGCCCAGCCAGTCAGCACCCAGCCTGGGATTGTTCCACCGTAAGTGCAAGATGTTGCACTTGTTGAACCTCATGAGATTTCTTTTGGCCCAATACTCTAATTTGTCTAAGTTGCTCTGAATCCTAGCCCTACCCTCCAGCGTATCTATTACTCCTCATAGCTTGGTGTCATCTGTAAACTTGCTGAGGGTGCACTCTATGCCATCTTCCAAGTCACTGATGACAACATTGAATAAAACCAGCCCCAAGACTGACCCCTGGGGCACTCCACCTGATACCTGCTGCCATCTAGATATCAATCCATTGATTACTACTCTGAGCCTGGTGCTCCAGCCTGTTTCCTATCTACTTCACAGTCCATTCATCCTGCCTGTACTTCCTTAGCTTGCCTGCAAGAATGTTGTGGGAGACAGTATCAAACACCTGGCTAAAAATCAAGGTACACCACATGCACCGGTCTCTCTCCACATTCACCTCATCACAGAAGGCAATCAGGTTGGTCAGGCATCACTTGCCCTTGATGAATCCATGCTGACTATTCTTAATCACCTTCTTTTCCTCCAAGTGTTTAGAGGAACACTTGAAGATCTGCTCCAGGATTTTTCCAGGGACTGAGGTGAGGCTGACTGGTCTGTAGTTCCCTGGATCCTCCTCCTTCCCTTTCCTAAATATGGGTATTATGTTTGTCCTTTTCCAATCATCCAGGACCTCTCCTGATCACGATAAGTTTTCAAAGATGATGGCCAATGGTACTGCAATCACATCCCTCAGCACCGTTGGGTGCATCCCATCCAACCCTATGGACTTGTACATATCCAGCTTTTCTAAACAATCCCTAAGTGTTCTTTCAGCACTGAGGGCTGCTCACCTCCTGCCCAAACTGTGCTGCCTGGTGCATTAATCTGGGAGCTGACCTTGCCTGTGAAGACTTGGCAAAAAAAGGTATTGAGCACTTCAGTTTTTTCTGCATTCTCTGCCACAAGGTTGCCTCCCCCATTCAGTAAAGGACCCACACTTTCCCAGATCCTCCTTTTGCTACGGACATACTTGTAGAAACCCTTCATGTCCCTCACTAGCTGCAACTCCAATTGTACTTTGGCCTTCCTGACTTCATCCCTGCATGCCCAAGCAATGCACACGGCAAAAAGGCCTGGCTCAAACAGCTCCCAAGCTCAACAAACAAATGGGAAGAGAAATGTAGGCACAGATTGCTGATGCAGTACCCCATGGTCACCCAGTGGGTCTGTGGTAGAACCAGAAACAGAATGCAGGTCTCCTACATCCCAGGGTCTCCTTCCCAGGGCTCTGCTATGACCCCCCCCCGGCATGTTATTAAACACCTTTCCCCACACCCCAGTGGTCAGCAGGCTGCAGATCAGGGCAGATGGTCTGTCACAGCTTTGCCTTTTAGGACAAAAATCTGCAACTACCACAGGCTTTGGATTTATTTATACCCAGTCATAGCCTTTATGATGTAAAGCCAAACTTCTTCATGGGTGTTCACAGGCTTCATCCAATTTTGCCCAGATGGCAAGCCTCAGATGCAGAGGTCAGCACCTCCAGCCCCCACACGTCTTATCTGCCTACGCCTGAAATAAAAATCACAGCCCATTCATGGCAGAGCCAGGAATAGGACCCAGGAGTTCCCTGCTATATAACTACCAGATCCTGACCTGGACATATTCAACACAGCACCAGTGCCAATACATATTGAGCTGCTGCCCAAGGCTGCCTATGCCACATGTCCAAGGACAGAAGCAGGCTGCTGGCAACCCACACATAGTGCTTGGAAGGCCAGACGGCTCACCGATGGAGCCCTTTCTTCCAAGCCACTGGGATCAATAGGAGCTTTTAACCTCCTCTCCACCCGCTGCCTTTATCCCCTCCCTTTGTCCAGCTGGAGATATGTCATGGAGCCTTTCATTCACGTCTTCTCTCCCTCGGTTTCTGCTCACCCCGTCACTGTGGCACTCGCTCTGCCGAAAGGCTATAATTAGAACATTGTGCTCGCCTGTTCTCGTGCGAGCTGTGTTCTTGGATAACACAATCCCCAGGGGACCCCGATTCATTCCAGTGATAACCTTCACCCCCCCCATCCCCCAAGCCCTCCCGTTCCGTTTCCAAATGAATGCATTGGGATTTTTTTTTCTTTTAACAGGAGCGAGAATGTGTGCTACTCTGGAAGGGCTCCTGGTCATGCATGCACTCTTTAAATATTAAGCAGCATGGGGATGGGGACAAATGCTTTCTTTAGGGAAGCGGGTAATTGGATACATTCAACGATATCCCTTCCCTCCCGCCCCATCAGCATCCTCCCATCCGCGCAGCCAACTCCCCACATAGCCCTTCCCTGCAGCACTGTTCCGTAACACAATAGCCCTGCTTGCTCTGTCCTCCAAGCAGGAGGCAGATGGAAAATGTCCCCTAAATGCTCCAGAACCAGAAGGTACAAGGAGAAGAGGCTCTCAAGAGCAAGCAAACCCCTGCCACTGTTTGAAGTAGGAAACAGCCACAATGCTGCATAGAGCCACAGCACAGGATCCTCCTCTGCGTGTGTGTGCACATGGGTTTGTGTTGATGTGCAACACTGCCCTCTCCTGGGAGAAGTGACCAGATTCTGAAGTTGAACCAGTTGGTGCCCTTTGGTGTCTGAGCTGGGTTTACCATGGGGAGATGTTCCTTAAGCTCAGCAGGCAAAAGCCACACAGTCTAACTGGTCTAATACAGAAGACTATACCATACTGACACCTCTGTGTGTGTGTCCAGCCCCTGGCATATTAAACCCACCATAATCAAGCATCCTCCAAGAGGAGCTATAATGTAGTAGTCTTGTGTACTTGTCAAAGATCCCATGGCACAAGTATAGGGTGTTTATCCTGGTGCCCAGGCAACATGCCAGCTCAGATAATTACATCCTGCCTTACTCAAACTCCCTCTGCGTTTTCTACTGTGGTGACATCATTCCTCATTTCCTGAGCCAACTCCACCGTGTTATTAAACAACAGCTGGGTTACGCCCCAGAGGAGGCTGCTTTCCAGTGATAGGTGGACCTATACAGGTTGTACGAGCGCAAACCACATTGGGAAGAGAAAGAGAGATATGCAAGTGGACAGCAAGTTGCTAAAGCACCTGCCTCAAGATGTGGGACACCTAAGGCCAAGTTAAGACAGGGGTAGAGATGAGCCCATATAATGGTAATGGGCACACACCTGCCAGGAGGTGGATGCTGCAGCCAGACACAGCATTGTTGACACGATGTCAGCTAGGGAAACCTCACCTTTGAGAGCGCAGCAGTACACTGAGGAATATGACTACAGGTATGAGCACACCAAGTGCTGACTTCAGGTGCTCCCTCTGGCCCCCACCAGAATCGCTAGTTATCACCACTCATGAGACATGGCCTCTCTGCCCTGTCCTGAAGAGGCAGAGCTCCGATTTCTCCAGGGACATCCAAGCAATTCCTACCTGTGAGGATGGAGACACTGTGGAAGCAGCTGTCCAGCTTGCCCAGAAGGATAGAAAGGAAGCTGTCGGCGGCCAAACCGTTCACATCCCGGGTGCTCTGGTCATAGACCACCACATCCTGGTGCTCTTCCGCCTCCACCTGTGGAGGAAACCACCACAACAGACCATTACAGCATGCAGGGGTGGACAACCATCATCCCTGACCTGGGAACACAGTGCAGGGAGTTGTGCTACCCATAGTTCATACTCCACATAGCCAGGGATTCCCCATTCTGTGTTGGAAAGGATTCCCCAACCTGAGGAATGAGGCAGCAAACTCCTCCACTGTCCAGACTGCAGATCAGGGATGGGGAGCTGAATAGGGAGGTACAGACAAGAGAGGAGCAGGTAGTCACAGAAAAGAGAGGACACACCTCTGGCTCCCATCTTAACCCAGGTGGGGGATGGAGCAGGACTCTACTGCTGTTAGAGGAACCAGAAAGCAGTTATGCCTCCCTCACTCTTGCCCCCGCTATCCCAGTCCATCAAGAATTCTGTCCCACTCCATTATAAACCAGAGAAAGTTTGCCCATTAGCTCATAGCCCAGGAGGATTATTTGGATAGGAAGGCTAAGATTTTCTAGAATGATCAACGATGCCTACAAGCATTTTACTATGGACTCCTGTGCGACTGGTTAGGCCAGCTGTGAGCACTTGCAAAACTCCAACCTCAAATCTACTAGCTTCCCTATTTACAACTTATGATTTCTGGTACTTCATGCCACATCTGTTATACCTCCATGTACACAAACCGTCCCATCTGTGGCACCTCCAGATGTCTATTTTCCCATTAAGCTCTTTTAATATTTCCTCACAAGCCAACCCTCTCAGCACATCTAGTGACCTTCACTACTCTTTGCCTGACTGTCTTTCAAATCCTCGGGACTATATTCTGTAGGTCAGGGTATTCCTAGCCAAGCCGTGCAGAGGGAGAAAAGAGTCTCTGCTCCACTGTCTGAAGGCAGAGGGCAGGGGGTATCTACACACCCTCTATCGCACGATGTCTCTGGGCATCCAAACCCCAGAACTGCATTAGCTTACTCTGACAGTGCACAAGTCTGTATATGAGGTAGCGGGTTCAGGTGGATAGGGCTATGGACTGGTATTCAGGATACCTGCATTTCAGGCCTTGCTCTGTCACTGACCTGCTACATAATCTCATAGAAATCACCTCCCCTCTCTCTGCCTTCATTTCCCTTCCCAACCAGTGCCTGCGTTATCACTTGGACTGTAGAGTCTTTGGGGCAGGGCTGCACTCGGCCTGTGTACGTACAGTGCCCTGCACTCTGGGACCTCCCTCGGTATTACCACAGCATTAATGGGTTAGTAATTTGCCACCTGCTGTGCCTCCTCTAGCTCTCTAGCTCTGCCAGGAGAGCTCATTCCAAACCTCCTGTGGATCAAACATAGCCCTTAGCACATCAAGGTGTGGCAATATCTTCCTATTAGCTTCAGTTTAAGTGGATTCCCAGCATCTCCTTCCTCTTGGTACTCCTAACAGGGACCACACGCAGCAGAGCACTCCGAGGGATGATGGGAGGGCTTTTTCCAGCTCTCGTGTCCCTTTCTGTGCACGAGCACCACACACAGGCTCTGCTACCGTCTCAAGGCCCAAGCTACACCAAGCTTGGGCATGGTGGCATACCCCTGAGGCTTGTCAGCTTCTTGTCTAGGCATGGCACTAGACACTTTGGAGAAGATGGTGCTCCGAGAGGTTCATGGCATCCATTCAGTGGCAGGGTTATGGTGGGATTGAGGCACTAAAGCCTGAAAGATGAGTTCATTGAAGGCTACTAGAATCCAGGAACCCTGATGGCTCAGTGCACCTGCTGAATAGGGTGACATACACCTGCCTTAGGAACTATCAGTCTCCAAACCTTTGGGGTGAGATGCATCTGTTCACTGCTATATCTCATCAGGGCCTTGGTTGTCACAGCTCTCCAGTGTCCAGGGCCTGGAGTGTGAATCTTTTCCCCAAATCTGGTGTTGGGGTAAGATGGACACTGTGTGCCACTGGCTTTAGTGGCACTCCCATCTCTCCTGCTCTCCTCCCCTAGTGTACAGTAGATTTTTTGTACTATAACATTTTAATTTCCCCTGGGCTGGAGGGTGAGGAATATATGCTCTTGTGGAGTTTTTTGGGTTGACGTTTAATATGTGGTTGCTTATAAAAAGAAACAAACAAACAAACAAAAAAAAAACAAAACACAAAACACATGGGACCAAACTGGGTTGTCCCACCAAGTCTCATGTTCCCTAGCACTACACTCACAAGCCCTTCAGGATGCCGATTCAGGGACAACCCTAACAGCAACGGGGTCCGGTTCCTGCCCACATATCCCAGCTGCGTACCACCAACGTATCACTTCTCTGCATACAACTACCCGAGCTACCCGTCCCTCAGGTTGTTGCATTCCAGTTCCATCTCTATTGTCGGCCACATTTCCTGCCCAGCACTCAGCAGTCACCCCACCTTTCAAAAGCAAAACATTGTCAAGCTCAAATCACCTGGCCACCAGTGGTACAGTGTTGCCCTCCCAGTTTGAGATAAAACACATTCTCCTGGGAACAGGAACAACCCCAAACTCGCATTCCCTTCCCTCACCCAGTCCCTTCAGCCCCGTGCTGCAGCGCTAACCACTGCATATTGTTCAGTGCTGCTCTCAAGTGTCCTGTAGAGCAAAGGCATCGTTTAAGGCAGGATTACTGGCATTCCCAGGCTTTGGGCTTGGGGAGGGGTCCTCCCGGGACCTAATCAGGCCCTCCATACACCAGAGGCTTGCACAGGAAGTGGCCTTGGCACAGGAAGCCCAGCTTCTGCTGACTCCTGACCTATAGCATTCTTGGTTCGGTTCCAGGAGCTAAGCCTGAGCTGTCCCATGGCTTGCTATTCCTTGCAAGTGGGAGCAACTTCTTTCCATGCACCACCTGTGCAAGTAAGTGGGACTCTCTTCAACAGCTCCACACCTTTCTTGAGGCAATGCAGGAGTAGCACTGGGACTGTGGATTTCCTGAGGTCTTGAATGGACACCAACTTATTCATAATTTCCACACCCAAACCAAGACTTCCTTGACTGCAGGGAATAATTCATGCTTAGACTGACACCGAACTCAGTTCTGCAAAGTGCTGAGCATCCTCCAGTCCAACAGCAGTAACAGAAATGAGTCTGTAAAAGGCAGCCTGCTGCCTGTTCCTGGTAGAGACCAAGGTGGGTAAGAAACAGAGGACCCTGGGACCAGCACAGTTGCACCACTGTTAGGACTGGAGTGAAAAAGTACACAATTCGAAGCCTACTCAAGGAAGTACACGAGAAAAGTTAATGGAAAATAGGCTGTCCAGAAAGTGAAAGTCCATGGAGCAGACCAAATCTGGTATAAATTTGGATCATTAAAAATTGTGGGGAAAAAATGCAACCTCAAATATCAACTGACACACACCATGCATGCTGGAACACAGGCCACAAATCAGAAAGGATACTGGTAAACTGGGAGGGTTTACAGAATAGCCACAAGAACAAAGAAGGGACTGAAAGGACCTAGGCCTTATCATGAAGGAAAGTAGGAGTGTCATCTGCTTATCTTAACAATTCCAAGGTAAAAGGGGAAAACTGATCAGCCCTGCAAGTACTTTCAGAGGGGACAGAAACTAGATAATCAAGGGCTCTTTCGTCTAGCTGACAATGGTAGAACAAGATCCTAGAGCTGGAATCTGAAACTAGGCAAATTCAGCTAGAAATAAACCACGGGTCTTTAACAGAGGGAGCAACTTGCAAGGGCCAAGGTGAAGTCTCGCACACTGAGAACTTTAAAATTAAGATATGATCTAATTCAAATGGGGACATATGAAGGGAAGCCCTCTGGCCTGTGTTTTATAGGAGGTCAGACTAAATGACCACAAGGGTGCCCTCTTCCCTTCAGCACAGAGTCTCACAACGTTGTCATAATACAAACAACGCTGCTTCCCATGCAGCTGGGCACTCTTGTTCAGATCCTGGGAAAATCCCAGTGCCCAACAGTGCCAGGAAGAGAAATGGATTTGGGCCCGTACGATGGGGAGAGGAATAAAGGGGGAACAACTCCACTTTCCAGACCCACACAATCCATAAAGCAACATGGCTGCTTGGCTTGTACCCACTTCATCAAGGCTTCTTCCACATCTCCAATATATAGATATTCCATGCCCAGCGTGGCCCTGCAAGGCACATCCCCTGCCACTGCTGATGCTACACTGCATTAGAGTTCCCTCCCTATAGGTAAAAATCAAGGCAAGCAAAACACTGCTCTATCAACAGGAGAGAGAGGATAGAAGAGGACACTTAGCCACCATGGAACCTAAACCACCGAGATGGGGGGGGACGGGCCATGTCAGGGAGATAACAGCATTGGGCAGCAGAATTATCCCACAATAGGATTTAGTGTTCCTTCCACACAGGGAGGCTTTGTTTAGGCCATTACTGAAGGGTTGCTGGGCAACAGCAGATATATGTGTGACAGGGTTTACATCTTATTAAAGTTATAAGGTTTCAGGCAACATAAATGCCAAACAAGCACTGGCCTCACATGGCCCGACTGCAGCTAACAAATACTACGTTCGCTGGGAAAGACCCTGGAAATAGGCTGATGGGAAGGTTGGGATCTAATCAAAATGAATTTATTTGCCTTTGGAGTGAAGAGCGGCAGACAAATCCAGCCCCGAGCTGGTGCTGGTGTAGAAACAGAGGCAAGACCGTATCTGCCTCTACTCTCCAAGACCCTGGCTTCTCCTCATCAACCATTAAAACGGACCACTCATGCCCTTGATCAAACAGGGCTTCACAGGGTTACAGCACCACTGTGGCCTGGGTCCAACTCTACCCTGCACCTCAGTAGGTGCCACAGAGTAGGCAAGGTGACAGGCCAGCACCTGCATGTTGCAGCCAAGGGAGCTGATGCAAGCAATAATCTGCAACTGGATTAGTATACAAAGGGCAGTTGTGTTTCTGGGATTGCAAAGATGCTGGTGGGTGGAAGCTCACAGGGCTGGAGGAGTCCTAGCTGGTCGGGCCATGAAGAAACATACAAAGTGCTCTGAGTGGGCTCCTGGCTGATGAGACTTGTAGA